CAGGTAACAACTACACCATGTTCACACTTGCCGTTGCGATTTGATGCAATGCATCAACGCTTGGCATTAATGACCTCAATATTATTGTAAATATTTTATGGTCTACGCCTTTTGGCATGTAGAAGAATCAACATGAGTTACGCTCAACCTTGCTGACGTGCAGAAGCGCCGAGAAGAGCTCAGATGAGATGAAGTGTGGAGTGTGAAGTGTGGGGCGCGAAGAGTGCAGTGTGAAGTGTGAAGTGTGGAGTGTGAAGAAAGCAATGAGAAGTGAGAAGTGTGAAGTGTGGACTGTGAAGTGTGAAGTGTGGAGTGTGAAGAGTGAAGTGTGAAGTGTGGAGTGTGCAGTGGGAAGCGTGCAGTGTGAAGTGTGGAGTGTGGAGTGTGGAGTGTGGAGTGTGAAGTGTGGAGTGTGAAGCGTGAAGTGCGAAGTGGAGCTTCTGTGACATGTGAAACAGGACACCACTTTCGCAGAGTGCACGCACGCACGGGCCTGGCTGGCGCACGGCGCATGCAAGTTCTATAGATGAGAAAGGTCTTATATATATCTTTAAGGCAACTTCCGCCCCGCCTCGTGCGGGTACTACTGGTATGCCAGAAGATATGCCAGATAGAATGTCAAATAGAATGTCAGAAGATATGTCAGATAGAATGCCAGAAGATTTGCCAGTAAGAAAATGTATAAATGTCATGGTGGGGATCACACGAAGTAAAGTATTTTTTTTCAAAAAAACGTGTTATATCGTGTTCCATATTATCTGAATAAGGGTACATGTTGGTGTGACCCTACTACGAGTGCCACCTGAACTATACTCGATTATAGTGAACTCACCCCGCCCGATCCAAAATCTTGCGTTTAGTTGGGGGGACTTCCTGGGAAAGTCGCTCCAACATGCGTTTACTTGCTGTGGATCAGTTGCGTAAGATAGAAAACGATGCTTTAGAAGTAAATTTTGCTTCATTTAGCTTGTGTTTACACTGGTGAACTTGTTTTTTTATCATGCCTGGCTCATTCATGTGACCTTCAAGCAAATCCAGTCACGTGTTTACATGTCGCCCTGCCGGGGGTGATGCCTTTCTAGAGTATTTGCATCGATTCATCTAATTACAGTAGATGCTGGCCTGCAGCTAGGCTGTTGTCGGGCTGATGCTAAATTGCTGCGGTGCTGAGCTGCTGCCAGACTGCTTTGCTGCCGGGCTGGTGGTACTGCTGCTAAAGCTGAGGGGGTTCCAAAGCTATTTTCTGGCCTCGTTCGGGCCTCGTTTTGGCCTCGTTTTGGCCTCGTTTTTGGCCTCGCTCGGAACCCTCGCTCAGTACCATATCAGTACCATATAGATTGGTTTACTTTCAGCCATCCAACTGTAGATCTATCAATATATCAACTATAAATCCGTCCGCTACCCTATACTATAGTTACAAACTACAAACGATTCTTGCCGAAGCCAGATTGCATGTTTGTTGGTTACGTCCCAACTTCTGTTGGTTGAGTTGTTTTTCCTCGACTCAATTCTCATTGTTGTTAACAAAGTCCAAGTCTGCTTGTTAGTTCGTATCATATCTTTGTTGGTCAAATCGACCATTGCTCCAATTATCGAAAACCACCCTTTGTTCAATTATTATATTTTGGAAAATCACCCTATATTAGTATATGGGTATATAATCTATATCTATATCTATTAATGGATGTTTACACCCAGGTCTGAAAGGTCTCTTGTTTATTTTCGATGTTTGATCCAGGTGATTCCATGTGTTTTTAGTTACATGTTGAGTCCACATTGTTGATGGTAAAAGCATGACCGTGACATAACATGACTTAACTAAAAACACATGGAAAGTCATGTTGTTTATTCCATGTATAAGTCATGGTAAAATCAGTACAGTACTCACCGTGACGACTGAGGTGATACGAGGCATTTGATAACCTCGGTAACCTCGGTCTGAGAAGTGCTACACCCAGATCCGGCGATTTTGTTAAGTCTGCTGTTTTTGTTGATTTTGTTTGTGCCGCATGGAATTCTTGTCAAGAAAAAACTGAGTTCTGTCATGGAATGTTATGGAGACATAGATTCCTCATATGAGTCTCAACCCCTGGTAAACTCACATAACTATATTGAAAATTAACATTTTCTTAGAGGTAAATCAAAATCAACTATAAATGGCAATATTCAATAGCTATGTTAGTTTACCAGAGGGTAATGTAATGGTAAACTAACAGTTTGCGAACTTGAACATGGCCCAGTCGAAAGAGTCGAAATAGTGAGTTGTCCCATTCAAAATGGTGATTTTCCATGGCTTTTTGTATGTTTACCAGGCCGGGTAACCTCAATTTCTGGTCATTGGAAGCTTCACTTCCAAACTTTTGCCATGATCAAAGTTCGGGGTACTAGAATATATCCCTCTAGATAAGTGGATACTGTATATAAATTAGTATCTCTATATAATACTCTTTATATATATATATATATCATATATATATATATCATTATATATATATATCATTATATATAATTACATCTATACTATATTATGTTATGTTGATTGAATGTATATATATCCCTAAGTATCCAAAGCCGTGATAACGATGTACTTTGCCAAGGCCCTTGTGAGAAGGTACTTTCGGTAAAATGGACTATCTGAGGGCATTTTGCTCAAACCAGGTGGTAGATATAGGTTCACCATGGGCCTTCTAAAGAACGTTCAGCACCGGAGACGTGCGCCCCCCTTCCAGCCTGCAGCTTTGCCTTCACATGTGTTGCACCCCCAAGGATTTTTTGAAATGTGTTAGTTTAGACCCACAAAGATAATGATACCTATAGATATTATTATATAATACTTACATAATAATATAGTGAGGAACACATTTCCAAAAATCCTGGGTGTGCCCCTGGCTATATGGTTTGTCTCTGCCTTTTTGCTCAGTCTACGAACAAGTTTTTCCTTGGCCAGCCTGCTGCTCTGACCATGGTTCAGCTCATTGTGGATGAGTCTGACCCCAATGTGAAGCACCTCTACAAGCCCTTGACGTTGCACATAGGGGCCCCTTGGTGCCCAGATAATGGACATAATATATGATAAGTATCTAGCCATACACATCCCATAAACATGTTGTGATGCACTTGGATATGTGAATGTTTTAAGTTTCTTCATACCGACTACCCAATACATATACGTATGTTAAGCATATTTTCGCATGTATGTAGTAAACGCACTTAAACAATTCATATGGCATGAGATAAAAACATGCAAGCACACAGCACATGTCTGTGTTAACTGGCATATAGCTACACACTAAGGCAGAAGGTGAACAAATCCATGGGCTGCTTGAGAGCTACTTTCGCCCAAAACTTGTGGAGCTCATGGAAGACCCAGACCCTGTGCTCAAGTCTGTGTTTGTGTAGGTGTTTGTGTATGTGTGGGTGTATGTGTGTGTGTGTGTCAGCACTGCACATTTTTTTGCGGTATGTTGTGATACTGTTTTTTAGTCAGTCCCTGGGGCCATACTGGGGATGCTTCAGGAGAGAATGCTTGTCAAGTGGGACAAAGATCGGATGCTTGCACCCTGCTTTAGAGCCCCTGTGGGTATGAACAGTTATTTTCCACTCACTCCTTTTATCCAGTTCCAGTTCCCATGGGTCAGGTACATGAGCCAGACCTGGTAGCTCACTATCCTTTGCTGAAGGAGTACCTCATCACGTTTGCTCCATGCCCTGATGGACTTCCAGACTTGGAGCACCACAAGGCACGGAAAGCACCTTTCATTTTACCCTTGTTCTTCTCATGCGCCCCCCATTCCTCCCAGATGGGCTGCAGGCGGCAATAGCCCTTTTGGCTGTGACCCTGAACCTTTTTCCGGAAGACTTGTACCTGAAGAAAGGTGGCCGTGGAAAAGTGAAGGACCGTAGAATTCTTCATGACCATTGCTGGACTTAATCCTTGTTTTGTTTTCTGTGCTAGGACTGGGCTGGAGATGAAGCAAGCAAGCTTCGCTTGTTGGCCCAACATGTGGTTCGGATCACCCAAAGAACTACTTCAGCCAGGTGTGATATGCACCAGCTGGTTGAAGGCAGCAGCCATTGATAAGTTCAATGTAGATTTTTTGGGCATATGCATCATTTGCAGGAATGTTGTGGTGGGTGTCCTCAAGCAGATTGTGGCAGCTGCTCGGGACATCAACAGAAAGGACAATTATTTCTATAAGAAGACAATTAAATGGCTTCAGTATACGATATCAGGGGCCACATTTTCTGATTGCAAAGCAGGACTCAGAAGAGACAGGTGGTTTGAGGGCTCTGCCATCCACGGATTCTCTGGCCATTCAAGATGCCCCAGAGGACGGCCCAACTGTTTAGTTTGGCATGCAATCCCCATGGCCCTGCGACATACCAAGTCAATCTTGTACCAAGTTAAGTTTCAGTTTCTTCACCAGGACCCTTTGGAAGGCAGTGCCAAGAAGGTGGTTGCGCCCATTTGCTTCGAACCAGAAACGGAGGCTTGTTGTAATCTCACTGGGTTTTGGTAGCAGTCCTTAAATTCAGAAAATGAGATATGCATCTGCCATGCCATAAACCTAGATCTTATTCTGTTTGAATGTTTGGACTTGTTCTATGGCTGGGCCATGGCTCTGGGTAGGATGTCGAGGATTTGGATGACATGGAGGTCACATCCGTTTTTGGGAGTCCGCCACCTACACCGGCTGGAGTGCATATTCCTCCCTCCCAACCTAGGCCTGATCATGAGGCCCCAATGCTGCTGTGATATTTTGATCGACTGTTTGATATTTAACTTTTTCCATGCCAAAGTTCCCAATTTTTACACTGTTTTGCTCTCCATTTCCGTTGGAGGATTCGCATGTTGGAGCTGCGGGCCCTGCTGGACATCCTGTCCCTGGTTTTCAGGACATGTCAGTAGTATAGTGTTGCGGCTTGTGAGATATGGGGGCATCCACTGATGTTGATATCCACAGTCGACTGGGGTTGGTGGTATTCTCTAATTTAGACTGATGCAGGACCGTCAGCCTTTGATTGACCCCAAGCGACAGATCAAGCCTCCGGCCATGGACCTTGATGCAGTGGATGAGAATGACTTTTCCAACCTTCTTGGTGACCAGTCCAAGATGCGAAGTGATGACAAAGAGGTGGGCAGGGAGATGGGCAGGTGGTGATTGTGGGGAGATGATTGTTGACTAGGCTGACTGTCTTGGCCTAGAACAACATGGGTATCAATAGGTATCATCGTTTTCAGGATAAAGTAATCTTGAACATTTGCAGCAACTTGGGAAGGAGAAGAAGGTGAAGGCGTTCGAGAAAATGCAGGATCGAGAAGAGAAGAAGCGTCGAAAGGAAGAGGCTGCAGCATTAGGGCCGAAGCCTCGGGGTCGCCCTCCCAAGGTCATACCAAGTGAAGTAGATGTGGACAAAAGTTCCACTACGGCTGAGAAAGGTTCTCCTCCTGTCAAGGCACCTCTGAAGAGGCGTAAGGTGAAAACAGCAGGGGGTGGTGCTGAAGGTGCTGAGCCATCTGCAGGTTCGGCAAAAAGGGCTTCTCAGCCTGTGGCAAAGGCAAGTGCTAAGGGAAAGGCAAAGGCTGAGGGGAAGGTTGGAAAGGGTGAGAAGGCAGAAAAGCCTGAAAAGGCTGAGATGGTTCCACAGGCTGATGATGGGGCGGTTGACAAAGGTGATGCCAAGGTTGGAAAGGGTGAGAAGGTAGGAAAGCCTGAAAAGGCTGAGATGGTTGACCCACAGGTGCCCAATGCTGCTCAGGCCAAACGTGATGCCAAGGTAAAGCTGGGGCTCTGCAAGCTTGCAGACAATCTCAGTGACAAGGATGCTCATGAGATGCAGCTGCCTGGCCTAGGCTTTGAGGGGAAATGCTGGACTGCTGTCCCGTCTGGGGATGCCATGGGTGGTGGCTCCAGAATCAGGGTGATTCCCTACCAAGAGACCTTTTATGTGGCCGGGTCTGCGCACTTGCCAGACTACTTGACTTCGGTTCTGAAAGTAGCTTGGCATCTTGTGGTTGGTTTGAACTGCAAATGTTGACTGTTGGGTGCTGGGTGCTCTGATCGTCTTTTGGTGCGGCAATCTATAATCATTTTCTTAGGTGGATGGCAAGAAGGGGTGCTCTGTGAATTGGGGAAAGTGGCCCTCATTGGCCATCGCGTGGTGGCCTTATGCAACTGTCGATGATGATTTTTCTTAGAAGTCTGGATTTTGTGTGTGTGCTGCAAGCCTATGCAGTGATGATGTTTGCATCTCTGTAGGTGGTATGCTGCAAAGATTGTTGGGCAATGGGTGCAACCGGATGAGGACTCCTATGTTGTTGGGCAGGTGCAACATTTTTCATGGCTTGCTTTGGGTCTTTGAGTGTTGATACCCTTGGGTTTCATCTCAATTCATCTCAACTCCATATCTTTCAACTGCAGGTGAAGCAGGCGGTTAAGAACATGGCCTGATGACGGCTTGAAACGACTGGGTGAGTCTTAGGCTTTGACTCATGCAGCTGTTTCCAATTTGAATTTTGATTTGCCCTTTTTCGAATCGGCAATGTTTACCACGTCCAAAGTGTGACTTTAGCTGTAGCTACCTGGGGTGTGCGCAGACTTTCTGTGCGAGCACATGCATGCAGCTTGTGTATGTGCTGGATGTGACATGGTACATGCGTGTCTGAGTTGAAAAAATAGTGCTTTTACGGAGCTTGATCAGAGTTAGAATGGGTTGTGTTTATCTGTAATATATATTTATATATATATAATATGTGTGTGTGAGTATGTGCCATACCAAATTTCTAACACTTACTATGATATGCAAGCACTGTGCTACCATGGTGATCTACACGAACATATGTGCACATGCGTCTATGTATATACAACTAGAAACCCTCGGTGCCCCATTCGCAGGTATGGAGGTTGCTCGAGCGAACCATGACAAAGCACCTGCCTATGCCAGAGGTGCTGTCACCCCACTCGTGCTCCAGTGCTGCTGCAGCTACATTGAAGAAAAGTGGATGGTCCCCATTTTTTTTAATACAGAGTGGAGGTAAGTGGATATATTTAAAGATTGTATATGTGGGGTTTTTGGATAGTTCCATATTATATATATATAATTATATTTATATATATACATAGCATATGCTCGGGGTAGAAGATAACCACACTCATAATCTCATATATGTTTATTGGTTTCCTTCTGCTTGCTCCGTATTGGTCCTTTATTAATGGGAATGATGGGAAGTTAAGGAAACACCACTGAAGTAACACCAGTCTCGTAGAAACAATTGGGGGCCATCCACAGAATCTCTTTGAATGGTGTCAGTTTCTCAGGGTCCAAGGAAGCAACCGACCTTCCCTTTAGTTGCTTGCAATGCCCCAGTCTTTCCAAAGCTGCGCCCTTACCCGAAAACAATGTTTGCTTATGGCTATGATGGGACTGCCGCCCATATTGCACTTTGACTGCAATAAACAAAACTTCCACTGCCGTAAATTTAGAGATGTAAATTGATGTTTAATGGGATTTCCCAGTGGTTAAATATATGTGGTTCATGTCTGCCCTCCAGCACCTGTGTTGTCACGGCTCAGGATCCATGCTATGGACTATCTGTCTTCGCTCAGTGATCCTGGCAGAGATCTGGTGGCTGTGGAGGTGTTTAGTGGCAAAGCAACCCTGGTGACAAGTTTCCGACCCTCTTCCAAACATAATCAACATGTTCAACATGATCATTAGGACTGGGGTTCATTCTACATTGGGTACTGTATGTTGTCTGTGGATTGAGGATTTAGATCGATGAAGTCGCAACTTGATTGAAACTTTGTTGTGTAGTGTTATGGAATTGTGTTCCACAAGGGGTATATCAATTTGGATTAGCTTGCTGATCTGAGGCAGGGTTTTGATCATGAAGCTGATCCTGTTTTCCAGAACCTTGGGTCAGACCTGGGACTGCTGAAGGCAATGGGCCTTCTCATGCGCTTGGGCCTACTGGGGCTGTGGTATGGTGGTGTTCCATGTGATTCCTTTGGTTTCCTCAGCTCACCAACCCATGGTCGCGGGGCCCTCACGCCGTGGGGAAACCCTTGGCCATTCGTCTTTACTGGAAATGTTCTATGCACCCGCTATGCCATGTTGGCGCTGGTAGCCATAATAAGAGGATGTGTGTGGGCACTAGAACAACCAGAAAAAACAACTATCATGCACATGCCCCCATTCGCTGTGCTGATGCGGGAATATCTTCGACCGCTGATGGCGAAGTGGTTCTGTCCTCAAATGATTGGTTTCAATGATGTATTTCATTTTAAAACACATATATATATATATATTGTAAGTTTTGGATACCTGACCCATTCAAATAGTTTCTCATCTCTTGCTAGCTAAGGTGGATGGGCCTTTATGGCCATTGGACTATTAAACCCCAAGTGGCTTTTGGCTCAGCGCCCCTTGCCTGGTAATGTATATGGATATGCCCCTGACACGCCCCCAGCATGACAGAAGAAACCCAGGTCCTCAAAGCCTGCTGCAGCTCAGGCCATACCTTCCGTTGCTTCGGCGTGTGGTCACAAAGGGTAAGGTGGAGGAGATCCGTGAACGGAAAGTGTGGATGAACAAGGAGATGGTACGGGTCTCTATGACGAAAAAAGGTTCCAGAAAGACCGTGTAGCTACCTCAAAGGGCTTTGGGAACACTGATCCCATTGGAAAAAAAGACATGGGTGTCCGATTTGTTTAGCTATCTATGTAATATAGAATTTTTGTGGCGCACCCCAATCTACATATCTTTCTGTATCTATATAACCCATTACTCCATGTCTTATTCCAAGGGATACAGCACTAGATGCCACTCAAAATTCGTCAGTAGCTGTGACCTACATGGAATTCCAAGATGCTTGGCCTACTTGGCCCTCAGGTCTGGTGGTCGAGACTTAAAGGCTTCTGGTGCATATCCTATGGCCTATGGAGCTAAAATAGCAACCCTACACCGAGAATGGATGGACTGGCCCTCATTTTTTGAAAGCAAAGACTTTTGAATCATTTGTGTATTTAGTGCCAATGATGGTTATTAAATGCATGCACATGCTAGGACAAATGCCATCAGAACCCGTCTGAGTTGGAGAAGATCACCCAGACTGATCATCTTCTTGAGCTGGGTTATCAGGAGCTGGGAATTTCTTTTCGATGTAGAAAAAAGAACAATATTTCCTTCTATTTTTATAACTAGTACTAATATAAACAGAGGACAGAGATTTAGATATAATATATTCCTGATATTATATACCCAGGGCCACTCTAACCACTCCTGTCCCATCACACCTGTGTCATGTCTTTGATTTCAGCCTGCTGCAGGACCCTGGAGATGCCTGGAAGTTTTCCGACCTGGAGGGCTTGGTTCGTTTTCTAAGGACGGCTGCTGCAGAGGGGAGGTTCAAAGCAGACCCCCGGATCCCTTTTAGTACTGAACCCAGCAAGGAACTGTACGAACAGTTGCTGGCAGATTTCAATCAAAGATAGGGGACACTGATGGGCTGAAAAGTTACTTGTGTACTGGCAATTCTCTCTAGAAGTGATATAGGTTTTATGATAATATTTTCCAAACCTTGTATAATAATGATTGGGGTCCTGGATTGGATTTATCTTATTGCTTTTAAGATACCCTCATGTGCTGTACTATATTCAGGGCGATAGAACATCGATCTATCTGTATCTACAATTATACATATATATATATATTATAAATATACAGACTCATAGTCCCACTGGGCTGTGCAGCTGGCAGTAATGCTAAAATTGGTTTCCTGGCAATTGGCCCCTAATGATAATAGTCAATTACTCCAATGGTTGAGTTATGATGTCCTGAAGTGTGGGCTCATGTAACAAGTGAGTTTCCCGTACTCTTTAATGCTGCTTTTCCAAATTCCAAAAAGTGCCCTATATTCACTTTAAATTGGGAGTTTGCCGGTGGGGGTTTGGTGGGTGGATGGATTTCTTTATATTATCTTGCTTTGGGCAAAATTGATCTTGCTATTTGCAAAAACCAGTTCTTCTATCTTTCCTTGGCTGGGTGATGGTTTGCTTCTTCTTGGTAAAAGTCTTTCTGAGAGCACCTGGCAGATGTCACGCAAAGTCTCGACATCTGGATGGCCACTGCCAAAGTGAGGGCAGCCAAAATGAAATCTTCGCTTGATGCGATGGCCTGTGGATCGGCTGTGATTCTGAAAGTCTTCCCAGCACCTTGACATATTGCGCCACCAACACTGAAAGGTGCCTTTGTGGACTCGGCGGTTTGTTCCGTTCCGGGTGTGGTGATTCGCCTCGTCTGTGGCCTATTGTTGTTCAATTCTGCCTCTGGCAATGGAACGGCGCTGGGTCATGGATGGGGGTCCCATGCTGTGGATTGTACCAAAGTGCTGGCTTCCACCAGGAACCATGATAGCCTACCAGTTGCCATCGAATGGAAACACTTTGTGTGCCTTGTTGCCGTCAAACTCGAGGCTGTGCAGTCCCATGCCATATCGGCAGGTTGCTGTAAACGCACCCCTAACTAGATTTTAGAGGTCAGCTGCATAGTGCCATTAATACTACATAAATATTATGCCCTCATGATCGTCTTCCAATGGGATAGCCAACCCCCAAAACATAATAATAGCTATGCTATTATGGTTACTATATATTACAATAAATATGATGCCAGCAAACCATTCATAGTGCTACATCCCTGAACTGTCCCTTTACGTTTGATCACCTTAAGGGTGCCTCAATTGGATTGCACCAATTCGGAATGAGATTGGCTCCTGCCTGAGAGTCTTGGCTGGCACTACCATGCCATGATGACCAGAGGAACAAAAAATGCTGCATGTGAAATTTGATGATGCTTCGGTAAATCTATCGACATGCAAATCCACCGAAACATAGAAATAACGATAATTTAACGAAAAACAATATTTTTTCTAAACGTAACGAATGTGAAATTCGCGTGAAATTGCGTTAAAAACCGTGATGGGGAAGTTTCCGGACGTGAAATTTGTGAAATTTCAACCTTTGATTTTTTGTGGCATTTTCCAGTGGATCCTGAACTTAGCCATCAGTGTGAACCTTTGGGCGTAGCTGTTCCCGACATTTTCCAGCTATGCGGCGGAGAAGTGCTAGAGAGAAGAAGAATGTTTCTAGGTTTCAAATATGTGATCAATAATTTTTACATTTTTGGAGTTGTTTATGGTCTATGTGTTCAAAGAACCGTTCATTAAACATACAAATGGTGGACTTTACCCAGGCTGGGGATGCATTTGACCCGCAAGCTGAGCTCAATGATGCTTTGGCAAGGATGAATGTGCCTCCCAAGAGTGCTTGGGTTGAAATCAAGGTCTCTTATGTGATTATTAATACCCTGCCATCGCAGAAATGTCACAGATTATGGGAACCCACTAGATCCAGCCTGCCCTGGTGGCCACTGACTGCCAAGGTACATCAGAAGCTTCCAATGTCCCCAAGGAGAACGTCACGGCACCTGTCGTTCAGAAGCGGCCCCCAGCTAGCCCGGCTTGTAGCCGTGCTAGGGTGCCGGTGGTGGCTGGTCAAACCCCCATCAAGTCACCAGAGCAGAAAAAAACCAAAGTAGTTCATGGTGGATCTGAGAGGGTGAATGCACATGTGGAGGATATGTTGGCAAATTCAGAGTCCCCAATGGCGCCCCACATGAACATCACAGATGATATCTTGGACCGGGAGTTACCTGAACCCAAATCTTTGGAGAAGGCTTTTGAGAAAGCAGTTGATGGCAAGCCCCAGGACCTGGATGATGCACCTTGTCTCTAGAAAGACAAAACAAAATGGAATTGTACTTCGGTTCGATTTTAGATCATGAACTTAATAATATTATATAGTTTGTTTACATGTAGCTAAGGTACCCATGATCACCCGACTCTCATCTGCAAGTATGTTTTGAATTTAGAATACAACATGTTGATACAATATATATTATGTTATTTTCCCATAGACTGCTAGCCAAGGTCAAGATGGCCCTGGCCCTGAGAGTGGACTTGAACCGACCCAAATCGATGTTGACCCCCATGGATGACAAGAACAGAACTCCATGCACACTCCTGCTACTTTGAAATATGGGGAGTTCCCAGTTGACTCGGGTGATGAGGACGATTCTAAGCCGGTGTTGCAGTCTTTGAAGGCCTTTGTTTATGACCCACAAGATGATACCGAAGAGGTACCGACTCCCTCTCCGCCCCGTCCCGGGTTGCCTCCTGCCCCTGCACGGGAGCCGCCAGCTCCAAAGAGTCCTGAAGGCACTGGGCCCCCCAAGGTGGTTGAGGCTGTCCCCAGCATGGATCGTGCCACCACCAAAAGTTTGGAATCTGAAAAAGTTGAGTCTGCTTTTGATGCGTTTGCCATGTTGCAAACGGTGTGTGATGCTGACTTGCTTCTGAATTCGAAGATGATACTTCCAACGTACTTGGATGACTTGGTCCTGGGTGCAACCAAACTTCCCCCTTGGGAAAATGAGAAGTCAGCATTGAGTCTGCATCTATGTTTGGGGACGCAATTCAATGAGGGGATAGAACCAGACAACATGATGCAGCTTTCCCCACATGTCGTCACATGGATGCAGCAATTGGTGAACACCCCATGTGCTACCATGTGGGATGCTGAGTCTCAGAAGGCAATTGAAGCTTACACCAGCATGCGAAAGTCTTCGGAAGGCTTCCATGAGCGGATCAATGCTACGGAATCTACTTTGAGTGCTGTTGCATCTGCTGCCATGAGGAGTTTTGATGACACCCGGAAAATGTATGAGGGAAAACCCAACCAGGAACAAATGTTGATCACAAAGGCCACTACGTTGTGCAAATGGGTCACCAGCCGCCAGTCACAGGCCCAGGAGTCCTTGGAAAAGGCTGCTGCAAGGCACGAAGATGTCCGTGCTGCCTTTCTGGCTGAGGTTTCCCGCATGGTGGTGGCTGCACACCAACAAGTCTCTGAAAAAGAGGTCCCTGTGGTAGATGAGAATACTTTGTTTGAACAGCTTGACAAAGACCTTGAAAATGAACTCGGCATGGGATCCACAGAACCAGAAAAGGTTTCTCTGAAGGAGACCCCTGAGGAGGTTGTTCCTGATACCAAGAGGTTTGAAGCCATTCTTTCGACGGCTTTAGCTGGGGTGCCAGTTGATGATCCAACCCACAAAGCGTTGGTAGAGAACTTGGGGAAGGTCTACACCAGGACCCTTTTTGGTTCTCAACCTGTCCATCCACCTGCTGGCGATGATCAGACTTCAGCTGATGACAAGGCCCCTACATCTATATATATATATATATATAATATAATATATATATACATATATATATATATACATATAATATGTATATATGCAGATACAAAGAAATATATTGCAATCTAATAATATTATCGAGAGACAGAGAGAGAGGGATATATATATATATTGTTATCTCTAGACCCTGATAATTTACCTGTTTTTTGAACACTTACATTGATGAACAAATCAGATCCATGCCCCTTAAACCCTCATATACCTTATCATATACAGTGATTTCCCTCTGTCAGGCACCGGCTATGATCAAGAAGGAATCGTTGGCCGAGCCTGCTGATCTGCCAGTACCTCCAGCTCGAGCTCCTGCTCCGGCTCAGGTAGGGGGGTTGGTGGCTGCAGCTGAGTCTGAGTTCAGAAGGAGAGACACCAGTGAGCTCCAGGCCTGGTTTGTGTGAATTGGGTCAGTTTGATTTCAGGTATATATTTTTGGTTTTGTGGATTACTAACTATATATTGAATGAACATCATTCAATCTGCCCCCAGGATCATGAGTCTTTGGCGAATCACCCTGATGCTGTACGTTTGGATGATGGTTCCCTACGTTTCCGGCACAAGAACAAACTTGAGACCTGGGATGAACGCACTGCGAGAATTGCTCATAACCAGTATGTGAAATTTTCCCGCAGTTTTGACAGTACCTCATCTTAAACCTTAATGGGACCTTGTTTAAAACCAGTTCCAACATTTTAGAATGACAATATACTCATTTTTGTAAACTTATCTGATCCTAAGGTGCTGGAGTACCACCAGAAGTACTTGAGTTGGCGAAGAATAGAAAACACAGAAACTTGCATGCATTTAGACATCATGTTTGGAAAACAAATTCGAAATCATTTTGGCATCATGAGATCAGGATGACCATACTAAATCCTCATGTCCAGCTGTTTGTCCAACTGAGATCGTCCCTTGTTGACCCGTCTCTATGAAGAGTGGGTGCAAGCAGGAGGCAACTGGGCCCAAAGTACCATAGTGACCAACCACAGGGCCAAAACTGGCCAGAAGAAACGAGGAAAGTATGTGTACAAGCCCTTCAAGGACCTGAGAGAGAAGTTTGGACCAAGCCATGCGAAAAACATTCGGGATGGGAAGTACGAGTTGGAGGCCAAGAGGGAACCATCCGACACGTCGCCGGCATATTGGTGCAAGCACCCAGAGCTTCCAAATGACAAGGAACTGGGGATAATTTGGGATTGGGTTTGGGCTAGGTGTATGCCATGACATGATCAGTCAAAAGAAAATAACCACTGCAGTTGTGGCCCTTTACCAATTATATAATATTTTTTATAATAACCCCTTTTAAAGAAACCCATTTATAACCAATATTATAATGAATCAATTGCCATAACTGTGATTGGCTCTGCACTTGGTGTGTATGCAGGATTGGGAACTGTTCCGGGTTTGGGACAGTGCTGAAGTGGAGCACACCGAAGAGGATGAAACGGAACATCATTTCCGTCACCATGCTGAGCTCACATCAGAACAGACTGGTGCGGTTATGTACCTAGGTCAAAATGGAAAAAACATGTTACATATCGAATAGTTTTTTCATGATAAAATCTGTTTGAAGGATTTATATCCCTGTCCAGCCCCAGGTCAGATCTGGTGAGGCGACCTGGCCACCATGCTATCCCGAGTGCTCCTGCTTGCCCTTCGAATGCTGCTGCGCTTCCGGGTGCTCCTGGTGTGGGCCAGCCAGGTTTGGGTGAATCACAGAAACCAGAGGCAGATCGAAAGAAAGCACCAAAGGCCCCAAGTTTGCAACGCAAGTTTGCTGGGAAAGTGTCGACTCTGTCCAGCAAGATCACTGAGCTCAAGTGCATGCAAACACAACTCAGTGCTTCAGATTTGTCCCTAGTCTACTTGGGAAGAACAACTGGACAGGTTCTCACATCCATTTGAAAAATATTTTCCAGCCAGATAGCTAGGTTCTTAGGATCCCTACTTTCCACCTACTTTCCAATAAGGTCAGACTCAATGAAGACAGCCTATGGGGAAGAGCTTTCAAAAACGATGGCAGGGCTAGATGCTGCCAAGATCGCCCTTGAAACTTGGTACGCTAAGCGAATCCCGGAAAAGGACATCGTTGATGGAGTGAAAACTACGTATGATGACTTGATGGCCCTTGGAGACCAAGAGATCAATCGATTCACGGGGACGACCAAGTCGATTCGCAATGCCATAGTTCCTTATCAGTTCAATATTGGATACATGACATTGTAGACTCATATATATATATATATATATCCACCACCTCTTGAAGTGTGTTGGGATAGATCTATATAACATTATATATATAAAAAAAATATATATACCTTTTGAAACACAATGATTAACAATCCCATGCAGAAACACCATGTCTCATTCTGAGGCTCCTCCAAAGCCAAAGCCCAAACCAAAGGCGAAGGGCAAACCTGCTGACGAAGTGCCAGCTGCTGCTGCTGAAGCAAACCCGTGAGTCTAAGGGTCTCCACTGGTAGATCTAATGGGTGGGTCAAACTTTTGACACATGCTTAGGATGCGTGCGTGTGTTTTTGACCGTATGGGTATTTGAACATGAACAACTCAGCTGTTTGGACCTGCAGCCGAACCTATTGGCCCGGGACACAATCATACAACTTAAAACATTGAAGAGAAGCTTCGATCACAATTGATAGATGAATTTAGTTTCATCATACATTTTGTTTTGCCTTCGCTGATGGGAGTGCTGCTGTAGTGCGCAATTCGTGTGGCAATTGTGTGAAGAGGTCACAGCAGCTTTGAAGCTTGGGAAAAATATGCGTACAATATCGTACAATTAATATACTGTTAGATTTGGATTTATATATCAGAGTGTGCTACCTCCGATGCCCACGCAGGGACATCAGCACCTTTGGTGTCACCTTTGTTCAAACACATCATGGAGAATGTCGGAGGTGGAGATACATGGTTGCAAATATGCACCCCCCAAGCCCCATCAAGATGTCCTGTCCTCCAAGATTGGTGTTGAAGCTCCAGTGGCTCCATTCACTCCATGTCAACCTGCCAGCGATGCAAGGACTCTTCGTACCAGCGATCCCATGCACTCTTGAATGCTGTCAACAAGGACTGTGGTTGTACTATGGGCTGGCTGTTTGTGGGTTCCTACGAAATGCCTGGGAGTAAATCAATTCAAGGGAATTAACATGAAATGGGTGGGATTAAAAACGATACATAGTGTTTGGGGATCAAATCAGTCTTGGCCCAGGAGATGACGTTCCATGGAGTTGAGATGGCAGGGCCAGCCAAGGATATGTACAAAGCTGGTGCACGTGGCCGATGGAAGAACAATCTGCAACGGGACTTACTACGAAAAGTTCAACATGTGGTATCCTGATCCAACATATACGATGTGGATGGTCCAGGTATATTAACATAGGTTCTATTTACTGACCACGCTAAGGTACCTATGGATATGGTGGAAGTCCCCCTCAAGATGGCATCTACATCAAGGGATGGTGCAATTATGTACAAGAATCTTGGATTTGTTTGCTTTGGTGGTTCATTTTTCACGCATAACAACTACTGTGTTGCAAACATAATTCATGGAAACAATATCTAAGGAAACTGCCAGTTATCCTCCCACACAAATTGATTCCATGGATGCTGGAACTTGGTTTGTACCCGGAAGGTGCGTTGGAACAAAATGTTGTTTCAGCATACTGGGACCACTTGAGCTCCCATGTGGAGTGGGCATCTGAGCATGTCCAACATCATGGTCATGCGCATCAGCCACTTTACCTTTGGGGGGATGATGCACAATACAATGAGGAAAACGAAAAAATTGTGTGTGTTGCATTGGGAGCAACCCTGGATGAGCGCACCAGTTCAGTAGCAACGGTCTGGCCTTTGTTTGTCTACCGTGTTGAAGCTTGGATGCAACTACTTGCATGAGATGTGGGGGATGATAGACTTCACTGTTCCAATTTTTCAAGTGCTGAATTTTATACCTGCAAGTTTTGCTAAGGAGCAGGCCTGTGGCTTTGATACCTTAAATGCATTCCTGAAACCAGTGCCATGTCAGCAGTATTTGCTGTGTCATGGTTCTCCTTCCAATCCATTCTCTAGCATCTGATAAGAGTGATTGTAAATGCCAGCGTTTGCCATTGCTAAGGTAGCCGCTTCGCTGAACACTCTTTTCATGGGTGTGCCCTACAACCTGGGAGGATCACTTCGTCACAAGCGTCGTATCTGTGGATTTGTCACCCAGTACCAAGGGTCGTATCTGTGGATTTGTCACCCAGTACCAAGGTGATTGGAAATGGCACAAAGATACTTTGCATCAATTTTGATTGAAAGAATGTGTGACAATTGACATACCCACTAGTTTTACCATAATGATGTTATCTGAGGAATGGTTTAACCTAGCTGCTGCCTGGAATGCCCGGGAACTTTGCTTTGCATGTTTTGCTGACAGCAACGGATATCTTTGCCTTCCCAACAAGTTGGAGAACAATGAGAGGAGATCGTTAGACAATTTCATTTCAAAGGCTTGTCGTCGAGGTGAGAAGAGTTCTCTTGTTGCACTAATGAGAGTTTATGTTCATTTTACTATGTATTTTTCTGTTCTACTGAGATATGTGAACCACAGCTCGGTTCACCCAAGGTGCTCTTTGCGGAGTTGCGTCATTCCATCACCAGCAAATCAAGTTTTGTGCAATGCACAGTCTCAATCTTGGATTTGTCCTTTGGTGTGCAGGCTCTTGTTTGGAGTTATTGGTCTTGAAAGGGGTCTGGGGTACTGAATGTGTGTCCCATGATGCCAAGCTCAAGCGAGCTTGGCATGACTTCACCCGGTGGGCCAAAGAAAGAAAAAGTCAACACCTTATTTCAAGCTAAAGTCTTTGATTGCTAAGTTTACATATTTGATCATGCCAGTATTAAAAATACTGCAACTTGTTGATGTCTTAATCTAAGGCATTCCCAAGGGTCGTTCTACTTGAAGAGCCCTACCTCGCCATATCCAGAACTGCATGCAAAGGCATACAATGTCACTTGGTTGGGTAAAAATCATATGACATGTACTTAAGATTCCCTGGCCTCCTTCAGCCTCACTTTGGCCACTCCATGGCTTTGAGGCGAGGGTGGTTGCAGCGTGGCTCTCTGACTTCACATGTGAATTGCAGCTGAAGATGACGGATGACCCTGACCTGCCGCTTCTGTCAGTCTGCATGCAGCTGGGTAATGATATGCTTCTGGTGAAAGGTATACATTCCTCTTGTAGTTGGATACTTAGTTTTTTTTGCTGAGGTACACCCTTGGAGAATGGTTCAATGTTAGCGAACAGAATGGGAGGATCCTCTCTTTGGAATGCGCTCGGCACATGATGGCTCTGAGTGACCGTTGTTTGGATTCCTACTTGAAGCTCAGCGGACGAGCAATTCAGAACGGACACTTCCTCTTTCCTGCCCGGCCAAAGATACATGTTACTTGGTTTATCCCTAAGTTGTCTTAATACGATATGATGTTTGATTCCTACATGGGGGTTGTACTAATGAACAAATATATGGATCCGAATCCTTAAGGGGGGTGTTAGGTACAGCAGTGTACCGTGCAAATATAGCAGAGCCAGTAATAAAGAACCAAGGCTTGGATGGAGATTGCCTATTCTCAGGTACAAGATCGTTTCTTGGTATAAATATACCATGCAATGTGCAGCCCACATATGTGTCTGACAGACTTGGTGAGGCTTAAATGGGCGGTTCCTGCACTGTTTTAAAATGGAAGATTGGATTGGTGTGGCCAAACGTCCCTTTCTTGCATTAACTGCAGCCGAAACTTTGTGAATTCACGATTTCATAACTCACAAGGAATCTGGCCTTTCAAGATTCATAATCTAGATACAATACAATTTGACTAAGGGATCGCCAGGAAGACCCACGTTGCCAACTTGGAGCTGAATGTGATTACCAAATGCTACCTGAAACTTCGGTATTTAGATGACTCTTCTGAAAGTGAAGAGGAAAACGCAGTGTAGTTGGTGGGGACAACCAACATAGCTGCGCAGGAAAAGACAAAAGGGTGCCCTTCGGAGAATTTGCAATGTACTTTGGGGGAAAGTACGTAGGTATTGTGGATTCGGATCCTTAGGGTATATATATATATACATACATTTTATAGTACAAGAAAATGAAATATCATATCATATAACGTATTATATGTTTTGTTATTTTTTACATAGCAAGTGATGCCACCGCTGAGGCGCGCCGGCTGCGTTTGGCGAACGCCGGCTGCGGATCTGCGGTCGATCGCTCGGAAGAGAGCGAACGGAAACCCACGACGCGACAACAACGGGGGATCTACCGGGGAAACGTGAAATCAAGTGATAGTGAAATAGTGAATAGTGAATTATAGAGTTTTTTTTTCAAGAAATATATATATATATAGATAGTGATGTATGGTGAACTTTATTTCATACAGTTATAGCATGCTATAGCTCTTTTCACGGTTATAACTGGCTCAGAAAACCTCCTTGATTTGATATATGTATGTACAACCTCAGTTGCAGGAGTTGTAATCTCATTTGTAATTAAGTGTTAAGGGCCATAATTGTAGCTAGCTTAACTAAAAGGTGAGGTCTCCCCCAGTTTTGCCTGCTCGTTTATAACACCCATGAGCGATAGTTATATCCCCCATAAACTTTATAGTTAACCACATCATGACTTAACCTACTTATGTAGGGGGCCTGCCGAAGATGAGATGTTTAATTTTCCCAATGGGAAATCCACTACTGGATGGGAATCTGACTATAGAGCATATTTTATATGTTTGGTGGCTCCTTATGCAAATCCGAGAATATTCGTTTACTGTAATACCCAATCTACTGTTCTTGGTGCTATAGAAATATACTTGTAGTAATATTTATGATTTATTTAATCTTAGTGCTATGTATTGAACTATTTTGTATTATCACATTACTAGTACTGGTGTAATATGTCTTATTTTAAATTCTAATGTTATACCCAATCTGGTGATTCAAACGATGGGGCACCACCTTGTGCCTGATGAGGGTCGTTTTTCGAGGTAAACTTTGGTTGCATGCATGTTGTTGGTCATATTGGGGATATATTCAGCGAAGCTGCTAACAAGACATGTTTTTGTTGCTGGATGTTTTTCAGCGTTTCCATGTTCTCGAGAGGAGGCGAATGAATATGACGACCTCACTGCAACGTCACATTTTACACATACCCTTTGATTATTTGACGTAGCTCCATGTTTACTTGGTAAATGATCATAAACCATACAACACAATATTGGATGGTCCACATCAATGTGAAGTAACCAGACGGTATATACATATACATGATGGTAACTTCACATAGGGGGAATATCCCCTCTGCAGGGCCGAACTTTTCAGGTTTGATCAACAATCATGGGCATCTCAGTTGGTGTTTCATGAGATGGGGTAGAAACTTCTGAAATTCCCATATTTTGGGGGAA